ACTGGGTACTATTGTTCAGTAATTTTGGGTACCCTGTTGCCAAACTTACAGTATGTTGATGATTGAAACTAACCTCTGGCTTTTTTTCATTTTTGTTTCTCTCAAAGCAACTTATGATATTTTCTCGATTTTATTTTATTTTATTTTTCTAATTCTGAAAACCCAAGCAGGTCAAATTTCGAGATCTGACAGGACGCGAATTGGTCGGATCTCCATCAGACCGCTTCAAGGTAGTCCTCTCTCAATCTACGATTGAGATCAGCATGTCCTCGACTAGTAAATAGTCAAGAAAAATAATCTAGAAAAAATTAGTATGAAAAAATATTTTTTTCTTATGCATCCTCGAGTTGCTTATATGAAGCCGTATATGCAAAAGAAAACGGTGAATGAACAGTTGCTACACAGAACGCAACAAATCTAGGGTACCATGTAGAGCTTTTCCTAGTAAAATTACAGGTGCGGGTACTCATGCAAGTACTTGTTCAGTAAACATACTGCAATGGGTACCCAATGCAGCACCTACGTCAGTATAATTACTGAAAATTTTCGAAGTACCCATATCGGGTACCCTGCTGAGGCTTTCTCAGTACATGGGTATCCTGAACTCAGTACTTTCTCTAGGGATGTTGCATAGAACTGCCCATTCATTTTGTGCATATCATTTTTGTATTTTTGTTTCTACACAAAATACTTCCCGTGTGCAAGATACTCATCGAATAGTAAGCGATAACTAAAATCGAAATTATTAGAGCAGTCTCAATAGATTTTTCTTTTATGTTAGGTCAAACATCTATTGATTTAATTATTTGATGATCCTTGATTTTGTTTTTTTTGTTTTTTTTATTCGTATCTCATCACATAGATGTATAAGCTAAACTACAAGAAATAAATGATCATCGATTTGGATGTGGGATTTTCCTCTAATTCGCTACTTTGTTTTGATGAAAAATCTTTATCTATAAGATTTAGAATATGTTGTTTTCAGAAACTACCGAATCTATTTCATGAAGAAACAGGTTCCTTTATACTTGTTTCCATTTTATATTTCAAATAATTTCTTTAAATAAAAAATAAAACAATTTTACGTTTATACTAACCAGGAGGCACACGTGTTCCATCGATAATGGTCATGACTGCAGTCCCCATATTTGCCGATATGATACCAGTTTGGGACGATGCTATTGTGAATAATTGACACTGATTAGTTGTTTTGCGAAAATTAGCCGTGCGACATTGGACTTGAGCTAAACAAGCAATTTGACAGTCACGTACATCCGATACTGTAACAATAGTAAATGGTTGATAACTTGTGCTTCTATATTGAAATTCTTGATCGATCATCATAGACATCATTATTGAGCGAATATTATTCGAATGTGATCGCGTAATAGCGACGAATAGGAGCAGTAATGAACATCTTGTCATTGCCATGAGAAAACTAGATCTGAAATTTTTGAAATGAATATACCTACTTCAGAAAGGAAGCAAAAGTCATCATCTAATGAGAAAAAGGAAGAAAAATATTTACTTATTTATGCCAACTTAACATAATTAGGCTTCGTTTAACAGATACCATTTTTTCTCTTCGCTTTCATTTCTCATAAAATATTCTTTACTTCATCATTCTCTTTCATACCACAAAGATTCATAGTTTTGAATGTGTGTCTGTTTATGTTAAAGCTCTACTGAATGAAAAGTTTTTCTTTGACTATCATCGTAATTGAATCTAATGTTTTAAATGAATACAGTTAATCATAATTTTGAGAACAGACGTTGATTGTTCATCATATCATTAAATGAAACTGTCGTACCTAAGGCTAAAACGGAGGAAAATTTTTCGTTCTCCGTACCGTTCCGACTATAGGCTTTTTCTGTCCTGGCATCGCCTTTCTCTTCATAAATTATTTTTGTTATTTGAAAATACTATTTATTTAATTCTGCATTAGAATAAAATCAAGAAAAAAGGAAGAAAAAATACAGATAAAAATGTGTTCAATACATGTTATCGATCAATCTTTCCCTTTTTTATTCTCGATTGAACGAAGCAAAATATTATCAATACCTGATGAGCCTAAATTAGAGCGTCTTTGATTGACAATTTGACTTGGAGCAGAAAATTCTCTTTCTACTGCAGCTGAACCACATAGAATTGAAAAGATATGACAAGCTGATTTGACCAGATGTGAAAATAATTCTTGATATTCTTTTCAGAATAACCAAAGATTTGAATAATTATTATCCTTATTCACAATAAAGTCGATATAAGCATCTATTATCTATTTCAAAATAAAAGAAGGGTAAGTATTTTTGAAACAATTTTTGTTAGAAATAAGATAGAGCTGCAGTTTTCACTATTTAATAGATCAGATGAAACTGCATCACATCGTATACAGCAGATTTTTCTGACAACTTCTCTCGAGGTCTGCCATCAAGTTTATTAAAAACAAAACATTGCGTAATATAAGTGTTTTAGAATTTTAATTTTCAAGACTGTTCTAGAATCATTAATTAAAAATCTATAGATTGTGTTAGTACAATATTGTAAGGTTTAGGTAATAGTGAGTTATAAACAGATCACTACGTGTTATCGGCAGATTTTTCGCAAAATATTGACTTTTCTTTCTCATTTTTTCAAGAAAAATCTACCTATTAAAAAGCTTCGATTTTTGAAGAAACTTGTCAAGCGATCCTGAGAAAGTTTGTCAGAAAAATTTGATATCAACGATTCAATACAGTTTCATTTCCTCTTTTAAACAGTGAAAACCGCAGATCTCTCTCTTGTTCCTATCAAAAATTATTTCAAAAATACTTACCCTTCTTTTATTTTGAGATAGATAATAGTTCATCTTTGGCTGTCCCTGTAGATCTAGTATTTATCACTTCAACATCCATTAATTGTTCGAAATTTTTTTTTTGTTTCTTTCTTGGTGATTCATTTTCACTATTAATTGATGGGTGTGCCTATGAGGTTCTTTTATTAGGAAATTTATGTTTTTCGAGTTTTTTCCCCAAACGGTACAATGGGCGCGCTCTTCACTCACATATGGGGAGAGGAGCAATGTGACAAAGTTAGTTGGATTGGACATATTTCTTATTAGAATTTGCCAATTCTTCACTAGACGAGAGGTAAGAGAGAGAAAGAAATTGCCGAATAATCGTACACAGATAGATGTAAGACTCATATGAAATTAATTATGTCATGAGAAAAAAGTCATCTGTTTGTCAATTGTATTCTACAGAGATATGTCAAAAATGAAATATCTCAACTTAAAATTTTCATGAAACGAGAGAATAAAACGAAAATAGTTCAAGTAGTTGGGTGGATAGCTTAGCATTGAAAAATGTAAATTCAGTTGTATTTAAATTTAATGAATCTTCTTAGAAAATCACTGGCATTATACTACTATACTGTAGGAGATATTCATTCTATAATTAATGGAAGTAAAATATCAGAAAAAGAGTTTAATGTTGGAATACACTACTTTTCTCGTAACTCTCTCGTAAAATTAACATGCCGCTCTCATTCTAGATGTTAGAGATATGATGAGAGAAACGCTTATCA